AGAAACCCAAAAAGGTTCACAACACAAAAACTGTCAGGCCTGGTACCCACCTTCAGGCCACCCTGCTCCTACCTCTCAGGAGTGTACTTCTGTTTTACTCTGCTACAAAGCTTTGTATGTTCATTTTACCCTGCTATAAAGCTTTGTTGTTCCGCTATACTTCTGTCTCTTGGCAGAATTATTTCTTCCAAGGACCGAGATCCTGTCTCTGTGTTTCCACATGGGGTCAGCCTCTATCCCCTCCATGCAATGGCAATCCAAACTGGGGTACCACACTGTGTAATTAGTTTAACTAGTTTAATTGTGTATAACTAGTTTAATTCTACCTTCCCTGGCAGGCCTGTGTTCACCCTAGGTATGTCTTCCTGTGTAGATCACCACACTACCTTCTTCCTGGCTCCTAACCTCCTCCAAGTCTTTACCTCCACTCTGCTAGGGACAGTCCATTTATGTGTATACAATATCCAACATCGAGAACAGTGTAGCTTGAGACTATTGAGCCCTACAAGAATTATAACATTTAGCTACACCCAACATCATAACCAAGGTAAAAGGGCTATTGGATTAATCACAGCTTGTACTGGGTTAGTGGAAGGACTGGCTACAGCCTGATGGGAGGACATTTACATACTAGAAAGTAACCTTAAGAAATCTTACAAATATCTTCTAAATCTTCATCATCAATATGAGAAATGCTCTTAGAAACATGTAGAGCTCTCTAGACTCGCTAATCAGTGTAGTCCTAGAAAAATGAATGGCCCTAGATTACATATTAGCAACCCAAAGGGGAGTTTGCACCATGACTAACACCTCAGGCTGTACAAAGTTAAACACTTAAGTAGAAGTAAAGACCGACAGTAAAACAGACAGAAATAAGGCTAGAACAAGTAGCCTGGTTGCATACCTTCAAAACACTGCTAAAGAAATCTGGGATGCAATGAAACAACCTAGCCCATTCTTGCCCTGGTTTTTAGTCTCAATAGGTAGGACTCCTTGCATTCCTTCGGCTACAGTTAATGTTCAGTCCCAACATCTTTAATACACTAGTAAAATTCACTAGTGTGGGAATGGAACAGTCTGAGTTACAAATGGTGGTAATGCAACAGTATTAGCCCTTAGAGGGCTAATACTTTTTTTATTATTTTATTTTTATTATTCTTATACTGTTTTTTAAACATTCAATTGCTAAACATCATTTGGCTTGTAAAGAGAATTTACTCAAAGTAAAATACATGTCAGACCAGTCCAGTCGAGAATACTATACATGTTATCATCAACAGGTAATAAATCATGTGTCCCACAAAATGTCTTGCCTCTCTATTTTTTCTCCCTGATTTCCTTCCCGATACTCTTCCCTTTGCCCACCCTCCTTCCACCCTGTCTCCAGCATCCATAACTATTTTCACTGCTTTTATATCCTCAACCCTTAGAGGCTTCTAACTCAGATCCCATAATTTATTTAACTCTTATCAACAGCAAGAGTTTCACTCCCAAGGAGACACAGCTGTCCCTGATCAGCTTGAAGACCTTACAGAAAAACGACCTCTGTCCCTAGATCCCTCGACAATGAGTGAAATATCTCCAGGGGTGAATTTTGCTAGCTAAACGAGACAAAACAGTGCAAATTTTAGTTGTTCTCCAGAAACACCACGTCCCCAGAAGTGGTCTGTGATTACTGACCAGTTGAAACCAGCTGATGCTGGCTGTCCTGCCAGGAACCTTGAACTTTACTAATCATAATAAAATTTCCACTCCAGGAGGAGGTACAACTTCATTTATGAAACATGCAGTCTGAAGAAGCATGACCTGTCTCTGTGCCTGTGTCTACAAGAGTCCACATTTTCAAGCTGGGACACCCTTGCCCTGTCTATTTTTCCCTAGTAAAAGCCTGACTTCCCCTACCTCAGGGGAACACATTACTGCAGATTAATCCCCAGGGTTGTTCTTACTTGCGCCAAATAATAAGTCCTTCCTACCTATTAAGTTGTCTGGAAAGTCATGCCGAGTTTTTTTTTAATGCAAAAATGCATTGTGACTTTTCTGACAACTCAATAGACGGCTTGGTTGCACTGTTGGCTTGTATCCCCAAGAGGTAGCCTGACTTCCCCTACCTCAGGGGAACACATTACTGCAGATTAATCCCCAGGGTTGTTCTTACTTGCGCCAAATAATAAGTCCTTCCTACCTATTAAGTTGTCTGGAAAGTCATGCCGAGTTTTTTTTTAATGCAAAAATGCATTGTGACTTTTCTGACAACTCAATAGACGGCTTGGTTGCACTGTTGGCTTGTATCCCCAAGAGGTGGACCCATGGAGACTTTGCTAACACTTTTGATTATCTGATTTAAACCAAAAATGAATTTAAGCATATGGGTGATGAGCCAGACCTAATGTCCTTTGAGCACTTACAAATACTTTTATTGATATCAAGCTTTTGACAAGTATTATCAAGTAGGGTTTGAGGTCACCCTCTTCAACTAGTAAATGGATTCAGAAAGCTCATCCTGGAAGTTATATCATATTAGTATCCAGAATAAAGGAGACTACAATAACAGCCCAGGTTCTAAATGGACAAAAGATCCAAATAAATATTTCACCAAGATACAGAAATGGCTGAAAAGTACATGAAAGATCTTCATTGTCATTAGTCATCAGGGAAATGCTAATTAAAACTACAAACAAATACCACTTCACGTGCTAGGATGGCTATAATTTTTATAAAGACAGTAACAGATTGACAAGGACACAAAGAAAGAGGAACCTTCATACACTGCTAATCAGAATGTAAAATGATATAGTCACTTTGGAAAACAATTTGGCAATTTCCTCAAGAGTTCAATGAAAGTTTATCATATGACCCAACAACTCCACTCACAGGCATCTATGAAAAATGAAAACATACATCCACATGAACACTCACACTCTAATATTACAAACCACTTGCATATTAATGCTCAAAGCAGCATTATCCTGAACAGATCCAAACTGGGAAAACCCAAATATCCCTCAACTGGAGAATGGACAAAGTATGCTAACAATGAAATGTTATTTAACAATAAAAAGGGGGAAAGTACTAATATATAACATAGATGAACTTAAAAATGGTGGTATTAATGAAAAAAGACACAAAAGAACACACACGATTTCATTTACATAAAATGTCCAGGAAAGGCAACTCTGTAGATACAAAGTAGACTTATTAGTGGTTGTTTGGGATTAGGGGTAGGAAGAGGGATTAACTATGGGTGTGAAGGATCAAACTATTGGGGTGATACTCTAAAAAGAGAGATTATGGTAATGGTTGTACAACCCAGAAAATTTGCTAAAACTCACTGAAATTGTACACTTGGGAATGGCTTTTATGACAGGTAGTTTAAACCTCAATAAAGTTGTTGAAAATGAACATTTCCACTCCAGATTCCAAAGGAAACATCTCATTATGAACATTAGGGAGTCTATAGCAAACATCCTGGAACAAGTCTCTTCTCAACATAAGAGTTTTACCTATTTCTTTCATTCGTTCTATGTTATCTTTTCAGGAATAAAATTTAAACCAGTGTGAATGATTCTTGTAAGTCATATAACTTTCATGGCCAGAATGTGTATGGTTGATCCATTTAGCAACAGCTATGCAGATCAACTTATCACACAACAATGTGTGGAGTGCAGGCTTGTGAGGCTGGAGGGGTGGGGGGGAGTCATGAGTAAGAAACCAAAACCCTTATCCAGAGGTAGCATTTCAAACCTGAACACATTAAGCCACAGCAAACTTTCCTGAGTCTCAAATTAACATAAAGGAACTCTTCACCTACAAAACCCAAGAGTTTTCTGGTTTACTTTTATAAGAATTCCCTAAATTTCAACTTTGGGTACTTACTTCTGTCCTATTGCTGAATTAGTGGGGCCCCTCCAGAACCTCGTGACCTGAGACCCAAATCTATCTCACTAAGTTTTTAGTTCCTTTTTCAGTTAGAAATTATTATTCAGGCTCCAATAATGAAATGTCTAAGGAATAATCCACCAATACCCGTATATTCCATTCCTTTGAAGTCTCAATTTGTAGTTGAAAACTTACTCTGTATCATTACATTATTTACCTGAATTTTACTTGCACTTGATGGGGTCTTTAGATTTTAGAATATGTATTCTCCAGATAGTAAGGGATCATATCGAATTCCTACAGTGAGAAAGTCAGGTCATATATTGGGTCACTGGAAAAGTCATGCCATATTTTCCAATGCAAAAAATGTGTCATTATTTTTCTGACAACCCAATATATGAGATAGCTTGGTGAGAAAACTGATTTCCCATCTACAGGTGGCAGCTGCTACCCAGGACTACCTGAGTGCGCCACAGAAATATGGGCCCAATGTTGCCATCCCTTACAGTTCTGTAATATAAGCTTTGATTATCTAAATATTAAGTTACCTAATTTTTAAACAGTGGCAACTAAGTGTACACACACAGACACAAACCTATCTCACCACGTGGACTAAAACATGGCTAAGAGCCAAAACTGACCCCATCTAACATCTTGTGCTCCTTGCCGTAGAGAATGTTTACACTCCAATTGCAGGAAGCTGTACTTGCTAAAGGCAAAGTTTTTAAAAAATAGAATTCTATTTTGCAAAATAAAATCCATCTGGAACAGTTGTTTACAGTATGTCCCCCCCCCAATCTATTTGGCTAGAACTGTTACTCTAGCTCTCTAGATTCCCAATCCCCTTACTCAATGCCCAAAAGAAAAAGCAGCTGGGGTGCCTTATTCAATTAAAACACCCCCACAAGGCAAACTAGTTTGAGCTTCACTGACCTATTCCTATGTTTTGAACAGAGTTATTTTCTATTACAGAAACGTGAACATTTTAATGAATCAAAATTGTTTAACTTATTTCCATGGCTTTGGAGAATATGAGACACAAAAGAAAACAGGAGTCATTCAAGTCCATCCCTTCATTTTACTGGTAAAGAAACTAAAATTCAGAATGGTCAAATGTCTTATCTAAGGTTATAGAGTACACTGGCCTGTCTATTGGGACAGAACTCAGCTTACCTGACTCCACTCCAGTTCTTTCCATCACACCATATGGGTGGAAGGGAAGGTGCAAAGAGGAAAATCTGAGGAAAAGAGCTTTTCTATTTTAAGTTGGACATTTAGAATCAATTCACATACTACTTTATTCACTTTCCACATGACTTTACCACCCTGATTATTATTTACCAGCAGTTGATACCTTAAAAAGAGGGATGAATGGGGAAAAAGAATTTTACTTGGCTGCCAAACCATCGAAATTGCAGCTATCCATCAATGTTGTGTAGTTTAAATCTCAGATTTTTTTAAGGGACAATTTTAACTAAATTTCCCTCTATCTTAACTATATTCTCAGAACTACTCTCCAGAATGAAATCCACGATGTCTGATGAGGCCTGAATTACTTTTAAATGTCTTCTCACATTCACTACACTCATATTCTCTCCTTCCAGTATGAATTTTTAGGTGTTCTACAAGAATTGAGCTCCTGCTAAAGGTTGCTCCACAATAGTTACATTCATAAGGTTTCTCTCCAGTATGAATTCGGTGATGTTCATTAAGAGATGAGCTCTGACTGAAGGATTTCCCACATTCTTTACATTTGTAAGGTTTTACACCAGTATGAATTCTCTGATGACGACTAAGGAGGGAATGAGTAGGGAAGGCTTTCTCACATTGATTACATTTGTAGGGCTTTTCTCCCGAATGAAGTCTTTGATGATAAATGACGGATGTAAAATGGCTGAAAGTCATCCCACAATCATTACACAAATACGGCTTTTCTCCAGTGTGAATCCTCTGATGTCGAGTAAGGCAAGAATTCTGTCTAAAGGCTTTTCCACATTCACCACACTTATAGGGTTTCTCTCCTGTATGAATTCTCTGATGTTTGGAAAGGGATGAGCTATGACTGAAGGATTTTCCACAATTGTTACATGTGTAGGGTTTTTCTCCAGTGTGAATTCGCTGATGTTGAATAAGAGATGAACTGTCACTGAAGGGTCTCCCACAGTCTTTACACTTATAGGGTTTTTCTCCAGTATGAACTCTCTGATGTTTAATGAGGTGAGCGCTCAGGGTGAAACCTTTTCCACAGTCATCACATTTGTAGGGTTTCTCTCCACTATGAGTTCTATGATGTGGTGTGAGTGACGAACTGTCACTGAAAGCTTTCCCGCATTCATTACACATATAGGGTTTCTCTCCAGTGTGAATTCTCCGATGTTTGGTGAGCGAGGCACTATAGCCAAAGGCTTTTCCACATTTACTACATTTATGGTTTTTTTCTCCAGTCTCAGTTCCCTCATCTTTATTTAAGGCTGCATCTTGACATAAATCCTTCCTACATTTTTCACATGTAGTGTATTTTCTCTTAGAAATGGATGATCTCTGGAAAAAGTCTATTCCACACTTAGTACACTTCTGGGACTTAACCCCCAAAGAAATTTTCTGACGTTTCTGATGTTCAGGAAAAGATGAAGAGTGACTTAACACTTTCCCACTTTCATTTCCTTTCCGTGATTTTTCCCCAGTATGTTCTTTACGGTTCAGAATAAGGTCTGAATGAAAACTGAAGGGCTTCTTGCATTCATTATACCTCCGAGATTTCTTCCTTAAGTAGACTCTCAGGTGTTTGATTATGTCTGAAGTTTGTTTAAAATTATTTCCAAAGGGGCTCTTCTCCAGATCAAATTCTTCACCTTTCTTGACTCTCCCATGAATTTTCTTTTGTGTAATTGTTCCTTTTGAATATCCTTGCTTGCCATGTTCCTTTGATTGGCCGAAACGCTTCCAAAATTCTCCCATCAAGCCGTAATCATCATCCCTGAGGCACCTTTCTATTATTTTATCTAAAGTCAATTCTTCCATAGAAACATCATGATTTTGAACAGATACCTCCAATTCATCTCTAGGCTCACACTCTAAAAGAAATAACAAATAGAATATTTCCTGTTTGCAGTAAAGGAAGTAGATGTATTTGGGACTGACTGAAATACTACAGACAGTAATGACTTTAAAGAATACAGTATGGATTATTCTCAAATACAATTCTATAAAACAGAGATGGGAACCAGATAAACCAAGGGGTTAAGAAAAATACTGAGAAAGATAAAATGTGTGTGCTTTGTAGAGATACAATTTCTTGCCCTCCTTTTGAATTTCTCTAACAGTTTCAAAGCTATTTTCCCTAAATTTGTACTTTTCTCTTTCCAGATGATAGTGCAAATAATTATGAGTACTCACCAAATGCCAGGTCCTGTATCAAGCAGTTTATCTGCATTATTTCACTAAATCTTCACAACAATCTTATGAAGTAGGTCCTATTATTATCTGTTTTATGAATATGACAACTGGGTACATAAAGTGTCAAGTTGCTTGCCCAAGTATTGCAAGTAGTAGAGCCAAATTTTTAACTTGGTCTGACATCAAAACCCATGGGTTTGGTCAGCACATCAGACTGTCTCCTCTCAAAGCAGGCAAATTATACTAATTTTATAGAAAACATTAATCCCAACACAGATAAGCAATACCATCTATGCTAGACTTTCAAAAGTTAACCTGTTCTGTTACACTGCAGCATTTCAAACCTATTCCTTTGGTGTTAATACTTCCTATTACCTAGAATGCAACCCCCCTCGCACCCTCACCATCACATGGACAAAACTGACAGGGCCTACTCTTCAAGTCCCATGATTTCTGCAGAGATTTCTCCAATACTATTCTCTCACTAATTGTGCTCTTCTCATTGGTAAATCTTCATAAAGATGGTTTTAATCAATTACATGATAATCTATCCTATATAGTTTTTTAAATTCATTCTCTTATTCAATGTTTAATAAATAACTAATACTTCCCAAAGAGTTATAGAAGTGGAAATATTGAACCACAGGGTAGAAATATTATAACACTATTCCTCATGTATTTTGTAAAAAATCCCATTCTCCTCTTGAGATTTTGGGTGCATGCACACACGCATATTTTGTAAAAAATACATGAGGAACAGAGGAAGCTCAGTACTCATCTCTAGTCAAATCATTCTTCTTTATATTTTTGCAAATTTGATTCATAAGAAGTTGTTTTAAATATTTATCTCATTGTTGACCAGTGAGTTCAAGTACTTTCTTCATGTTCACAAGCAATTTACATTTTTGTCAATTATTTTCTTGAATTCTTGGCCTCTGTGTGTGTGGTGTTTTGCTTTGTTGGTTTTTTTTGGTTAGAAGGCATGTGTGCTCACCAGAAAAAAAGAGATGGAGAGGAGAAAGCACCTCCCATGGAAAATGGTCACAGTGCAATTCCTTCTACTCCATCTCTCCATCCTTTTGAGATCTGGGACAGGCATGCATGTACCCTGTGTGTCTCTCAAGCTGCAAGGTCTGTGTCCATGACTCAAACCACACAGATGGATCTGAGTGCTTTATGTGTCAGGACATAGAACCAGCCCAATTTGCATGTATTTTCATTATTTATTTTTCAAATTTGCTATAGTATGTGTGCTTAATGGAGACAAAGGGAAAGTAAGAAAGCATCCCTCAAGAAGGAATGGTGGGGGAACCAGCAGTTAGCGTAATGGCTATGTTGCTGGACTCCCACGTAGTTGACCGCAGTTCATGTCTCGGACCCGGTGGCTTAAATCCCACACCGGGCGCGAGTGCGTGCGTGCCCAAGATCCCGAGAGGAGAATGGAGGAGATGGGATTGCGGCATGACCATCCCCCGTGGGGGATGATTTCTCGCTTTCTGTCTCTATGTCTCTCTCTCTGTCTGGCGAGTGCACGCGCCCCATAGCGAAAACCTCTCCAAAAAAAAAAAAAGGAATGGCAGGACCAGCAATTAGTATAACAGATGTGTCGCTGGACTCCCATGTAGTCGACTGCGGTTCGAGTCCAGACCCGGAGGCTTAAACTCACACCGGGCGCATGTGCGTGCGTGCCCAAGATCCTGAGAGGAAAATGGAGAAGGGATTGCAGTGTGGCCACCCCCCCTGGGGGGTGATTTCTCACTTTCTGTCTCTCTCTGTCTTTCTGGCAAGCACATGCGCCCTATAGCAAAATCCTCTAAAAAAAAAAGAAGGAATGGCCACAGCATAATCTCTTTTTCTCTAATACTCCTCTCACGATTCTGGGCACACACACACTTATGCTCAGCATGGTTTTCAAACTACTGGGTTCAGGACTCAAATGGCACAGTTGGCCACATAGAATGTGGCCACTCCAGCTACCATACTACTGGCAGACTCTGCCTGTATTTCTAACAGATGTAGTGTTCCTTATTGGTCTGCATGAGTTTTTTTTATAAATTATGGCTAATGACTCTTGCTTTGGCTGTCAAAAATGTTTTTCTACTTTATGTTTTAAATGATTTGTTTTTTGTTTTTCTTTAAGATTTCTGCCATAGGGCATGTGTGCTTGCCAGAGAGACAAGAGAAAGACAGAAAGGGAAAGTAAGAAATCAATCCCCAGGTGAGATGGCCATATCACAATCCTTTCTCCATTCTACTCTTGGGATTTTGGGTATATGCACACACACATATTTTTCAAGCTGTTCAGTCTGGGACTCGAACCTGAGGGTTGGCCATGTGGAATCTAGCACCTTAACTACTACACCACCTGCTGGACCCTGTAAATTACTTAAAAAAAACTATTTCTTTATTCAATTTTATTATTATTATTTTTTAATTTGATAAAGGGCACACAAGCTCACCAGAGAGAGAGAGAAAGAAGGAAGAAAGCAAGCTACCAGGTCTGGGACTTGAACAGTGGTCAGCTATGTGGGAATCTAGCACCTTAACTACCACGCCACTTGCCAGTACCATAAATTACTTAAACAAAATTGTACATCTCTGTGATGCTGCTTTTACACAAACACCTGAGAAGAAGGACATGGATTTACACCAATGCTGCCAGAATTATTCAAAATACTTTAAGAATCTATTTTTGGAATTACTCCCCAAATGCTACTTTAACATAAGACAGCTGCTATCATTTATTTATATAATTACACTGGACACAGCAAATATGCAGATCAAAATGAATGGTTTAGAAATGGATTACTGTTTTTTTTCTTTAAAATAAACCAACTGGGGCCAGCAGGTGGCATGGAGATTAAGGTGTTGGACTCCCACCTTGCTGACCATGGTTCAAGTCCCAGACCTGGTGGCCTGCTTTCTTACTTTCTCTCTCTGAATGTATGTGCCCTATAGCAAACTAAAAATTATTTAAAAAAAAAATCATATACAATGATGTACTCAGACACATAAATGTATATGTAAAGTTTTTCCCTTTCACAAAAATCTAATTAATATATATGCTACTCATTGGGTGAATTCCTATTGTCCTTCAGGATTTAGGAAATAAGTCTAAAGTTAATTAAGCCCTTGCTTTTATATATTCCCATAGCTCCTTAAGTATGTCATTATTATAGCCCGCATCACATTGTTGACACTTTTCATTTTGACACATCTCTATACAGTATCCATAAAATGTGGCTCGCAGATCTCCTTCTATGGGGAGATTACCTGCTAGTCCTACTGCTGCTCTAGGAATCCACCACTGTGCATATGCCAAGGCTACTTTCCCAATGGCTGCTCCCCGTCAGGCAGGCCCATTTCTTTGAGATACAGGGCTCTTCTGATGGGCCACTATGGCTTAAGGCTGGTTTTTGGCCTTGACTAAATTTTCTTGGAACTGAACTTGAGCCTAAGACTTCCTACCTAGGCTTCTTCCTTCTCCCTCTTTTTCACAAGGATCAGACCTGCATCTTGCTGAGAGCTCTCTCAGGCTCTTCTAGCTCCCTCCCTATTTTCCTTCACTGGAACATTCCTTAATAACCCCTTGCATGGTTAATCATATCTCTCAGCATTTACTTGTTGTTTTCCCCATTAACATGAACATTCAAGAAAGGCAAGGACTCTATTCTAATCATATTTATATTTTAGCATCTAACCCACTCTAAGCTCTTCCCACGAAACGTGGTAAACTGGTTTCATTTCCCTGTCTACTTTTCTCCAACTCACCTGATCTGGAGCCTTCTGACTCTTCTGTTTCTAGCAGCGATGGCAATTCAACCCACTTTAGCTGGGAAATCAAATCTAACTTGGAAACTGGAAAGCCTGCTCATAGAGAAAAGAATGGAAAATGGCTATTTATACATAGAACAAAGACAGTTCAACATCATAGTTTCTGGTTATCAAGGAAGCTAAAAGACACTATCAAACATAGATTCCAACTGGAATCTGGGGACAATATGGGGGAAAGTAAGACATTGATGATAGCAAAATAATGCTCCACATTTCTAATTTAATGAAGCAAAGGCCTTTCTGTGGAGGAAATGTTGTAGGAAGGTACAATTTTAGGACCCATTTTAAGATTTTTATGATATCAGCCCCTAGAGACCCAGCTAATGCAAAGTTACAACACTTCACATGGGGCTGGCAGGTGGCATGGTGATTAAAGATGCTGGACTCCCACATGGCTGACCATAGTTTGTGTCTTGGACCTGGCGGCTTGCTTTCTCATTTTCTCTCTCTCTCTCTCTAGTCAAATTAAAACAAATAATAATAATAATAATAATTAATTAATTCAAATAAAACAATTCTTAAAAAAAAATAGCACTTCATATGGCACTTATCTTTCAATCTAGGGGACAGGAAGGTATCCAGCTTAGATGCTATATAATAAAGAAATGTCTTTACCCACAAATTCTAGGTTCCTGAAGTTTTCCAGTAGCACTTCCATATATAGCTCCTTTTGAGAAGGCTCTAGCTTCTTCCACTCTCCTCTGGAAAAGTTCACAGCCACATCCTTGAATGTTATTGATTCCTAAAACATCAAACACAGTCCTTTCGCATTGGATTATTCCCAGATAGAACCAAAGGATTCAGACAAGTGGCTAGGATACCAAGTTACACACTGGATAATAATCAAGCTTTTGAGAATTCCAAAGCTACAGAGTAACTATTCTATGACAATTATAGGTCATACAGAACAAGGGGGTTACACGATCCTCGCCTCTCCCACTTTGTTTTGGGTACAAACGCTGTACAAGCATTCTCTAGGGGCCAGCAGTGGTGTGGTAGTTAAGACAGTTGGATCCCACATGGCCAACTGCGTGGTTCATCCCAGACCAAGTGGCTTGGAAAACCAGCAGGGTACGTGTGTGAGCGCGCCCAAAATCCTAAGAGGATACTGGAAGAGGAAGGACTACAACATGGCTATCCCCCCAAGGGTTTTCTCTCTCCTCTTTCTTTCCTAGCAAACACACATGCTCTATAGCAAATTTCATAAAAAGAAATTAAATGAAGATTATAAATTACATTCTCAACTCAGATTTACAGAATATAAGCTAACTATAGATGATAATTAAACAAGCAAGATGAGCAATTATACTCCAGTTACACACAACAATTATTTTCTTTTTTTAAAATGGAATATTTGTTATAGAGCATGTGTGCTTGCTGGAGAGACAGAAAGTGAGAAATCACCCCCCAAGGAGGGAATAGCCACATCTCAATGCCTTCTCCTCCATTTTCCTCTTGGGATTTTCAGTGCACATGCACCAGGCATGAGTTTCAAGCTGCCAGGCCCAGGACTCAAACTGCGGTTGACTTCATGGGAGTCCAGTGATGTAACCATTATGCCATCTGTTGGTCCCCAGCAATTATTTTCTATCATAATCAAAGAGAATCTGTGTTTGGTAACATATTCACACTTCCAATTACTCCATAGCTATACAGTGTACCAACTCATTAAAAAATGCATTCTATAGCATCCTCTACATGGCTTTAAGAGGCAGTATAGCAGAGTGGCAATCACATTTGTCTTAGCTCCCTGAGACTGCTATAAGAAATTACCATAACCTTCGTGGCTTTCAACAACAGAAATTTATTCCTTCACAATTCCAGAGGCCAGAAATGTGAAATCAAGGTTCTAGCAGGGTTGCGCTAACTTCTGAGGTTCTGGGGTAGAATCCGTTCCTTGCCTTTTCCTTCTGCTGGTGGTTAACACATTCTTTAGCTTTCCTTGGCTTGTGGCCCTATCAATTTAAACTTTGACTCCCTCTTCACAGTGCCTCCTCCTCTTTGTATAATCAATCTTCCTCTGCCTCTTTCTGATAAGGACACTTGTGACAGTGTTCAGGGGCCACTCATATAATCCAAGATAAACGTCTCTTCCTAAAACTCCTTAGCGTAACCATGCCTGCAAAGATTCGTCTTCCAAATAAAGTAACATTCACAGGTTCCAGGGGTTAGGAAGTGGACATAGTTTTTGGAGTCATTATTGGCCCTGCCGCAGCACTAGTCTTCACTATGGTGAATATGGAAATTTTTCCCAACTAGTATTGGTATATAGGAAACTTAGATTTGTAACTAGCTTCTTTTCCCAACTGTTACAAGTTTTGGTAGTTGTTCAGCTGACTATGTGATTTTTCCAAACAGTTGATGTTATCTGCACAAATATATTACTTATTCATACCAATAGTAATGCCTCAATTCTTTCTTATCTTACACTGGTTACTCAGAATTTATTTATTTATTTTATTTATTTATTTATTCATTCATTCATTCATTCATTCATTCATTTATTTATTTATTTATAGAAAGGCTTTACAATCCCTGGGTGTGTGTGTCACCAGAGAAACAAAGAAAGAGAGAGATAGAAGGCAAGAAATAACTATCCCCCCCACCCCAGGGGAGATGGCCACACCACAATCCCTTCTTTTCCAGTCTCCTCTCAGGATCTTGGGCATGCATGCACACACACCAGACATGAGTTTGAAGCTGCTAGGTCTGGAACTCTAACCATGGCTGACTACGTGGGTGTCTAGTGATGTAACCATTATACCATCTGCTGGTCCTAAGAAGTTACTTATTATTAGCAGTGAGGTTAGACATCCTTATTTCATTACCAACATTGTGACCTTATTTTCAGACACTATCCAACTGGAGATATTCTTCGTCATGTTAAGAAAATACAATTCTATGTCTACTTGACTAATTTTATCAAGAGTAAAGTGAATTTTAGTCAGTTTTTAAGTAAGTGTTAGGGGGCCAGCAAGTGGTATGCTTGGGTGGCTGAATCCCACATGGTCAACTGTAGCTGGCCCAAGCCCCAGACTCAGCAGCTTGAAAAACATGCCAGGTACTTTCGCCTGCATACCTAAAACTCTGAGAGAATGGGGAAGGCATTGTGGCATGGCCAGCCCTCCTGTAGGGTAGGGTGCTTTTCCACTTTCCTTTCTTTCTCTCCTCTCTCCAGCATGCACAGGCCTTATAGCAAAAACAAAAAGAAAAAGAAAAAAGAAAGAAAGAAAGAAAAAGAAAAGAGATAAAGAAAGAAATAAAAAATCAGATTGGGAACTGAAACAAATAGCATGCGGGACCAACTCTGAGGCCTGATGGTTGAGGCAACCAGATCAAGTGCCAGACCCAGTAGCTTGAGAAATGTACTGGGTACATATGTGTGCATGCCCAAAATCCTGAAAGGAGGGAGAGATGGCAGAGAAGGGATTGTGTAGTGACCATTCTCCATGGTGGGGGTGCCTTCTCTTCTCCTCTCTCTGGAGAGTATACATGCCCTCCAGCAATCAATAACATGAAAATGAGCTCAAAGTTTCTAGAAAGGAAAACTACCTTAATTGTTTTTATATCTTTTTAAAAATTTTTTAAAAATTTTATTTATTCATTCTTTTTTTTTTTTTAATTTGACCATAGAGAGACACAGTGAGTGAGAGAGGGGGAAAATGAGAAAGCAAGCCACCAGGTGTAGGATTCAAACCATGGTCAGCTATGTGGGAGTGTCCAGCACCTTAACTATGCCACCTGCTGGTCCCAGTTGTTTTTACATCTTTAATTCACTTAGTAGGAGCACAGTTAGGAGTTCACTTAAGAATGAAAAGTATTCAGGGCCAGTAAGTAGAGTAGTGGTTAAGGCGCTGGACTCCCCCATGGCCAACCACAGTCTGAGTCCTGGACTTAGAGGCTTGAAAATCATGCCAGGCGCTTGCGTGCGCGTGTGCATGTACACGCATGTACCCTAGATCCCAGGAGGATAATGGAAAAGGGACTGTGGTGTAGCCATCCCCCGAGGGGGTGATTTCTCACTTTCCCTGTCTCTTTTAGGTGAGTACACAAGCCCTATGGCAAAAACTTTTAAAACCACAAAGAATGAAGAATAATAAAAAGAAACTTACATGGGACTCAGTTCTTGGAATAACAGCAACCATTTTATCTTCTTCTGATTTCTCCTCTTGGGAAATGGTAGAATCTTGAAAGGTCAGATCTAGAATGGAGGGGAAAAATGGTCTTGTCTCTCATCTGGATTCCTCAGATCCTTATGTTTCCAAAATATATAGGGAAAAAGATCAAGTCGGTTTCTCCTGCCATACTCACAACAAAGAATCCTTCTGTGACCTCAAATGTGTCAGAGGATTCCCCAACACCAAGTAAGCAATTCTGTAGCAGAATCTCCAGCAGATACTAGCTGGATATCTTCTACTCAATTTGATTCTTACATTATCCACCTGGAAATACAATCAGTTCTATAACACTGCTCCCGCTTCAGATGCCAATCACAAGTCCAGGTCTCTCAAACTTCTTTTTTTGGGGGAGAGATTTTTGTGAGAGCTTGCCAGAAAGACAGAGACGGAAGCAAGAAATCACCCTCCAGGGGTCATGGCCACATTGCAATCCCTTCTCCTTCATTCTCTTCTTGGGATCTTGGGCACGCATGCACATGCGCCCAGAGTAAGTTTAAGCCGCAGGTCCGGAACTCAAACCACGGTCAACTATGTGGCAATTCAGCAACATAGCCATTATGCCAACTCCTGGTTCCCGGTCTCTAAAACTTCTGAGCAGTCACCCATTGTCAGGGTCCTGATAACCCCCTCCTTGGTCTCAAATACCTTGTTGGAATGGCTCACGAAACTCAGGAAAACACTTTAAGTTTACCAGTTTACAATAAAGGATATTACATAGAATACAGATGAACAGCAAGATGGGAAAGATGCACAGGGCAAGGTATGTGGGAAGGGGTGTGAGGCTTCCGTACCCTCTTTGGGTATGCCACATTCCCAGGAACGGCCATGTGTTCAGCTGTTTGCAACCCTGTCTTTTTGGAGTTTTATGGCGGCTTCATACAAAAGTGTGATTGACTAAACCTCTCCTCACTAGTGATCAATTTAACCACCAGTCCCTCCCTCTTCTCCAGAGGTGGGGGATGTGCCTGTGAGTCTCAATCCCCTAAGCACACAGCTGGTTCCCCTGGCAACCCTTTCCAGTGCTATCCAGGGATTTCTCCCTCCAACTACCTCATTTACTTCAACTCCCCAGTGGTTGAAAGGGGCTTGTTTTAAATAACAAAAAGACTGCCTTTCACCTTGAAAGCTCAGGAACTGCTCAAGCTCCAAAATGCAGGACAAAAGGCCAAACTTTTTAACAAAAGATACTCTTCTGGCTCAAGTCACTTAGGAAATTACAAGGATTACAGAACTGTGAGCCCCTCTGCAGAAAAAGGGCTGAAGAAACAAAAAAGAAAAGAATACGCTTTCCCACTCCTGCGAGCAGCCAGTTTCTTAGGCTATCTCGTGCTTTTCCCCTTACTCAATAAAAAATCCTTTCCATTCCTAAACTCACAACACTAACTCCCTTCATTCCACATACCCTCAATTTTAAAATACTTAATTTGCACAATAGTGAGATTTTAATCGGTACTTGAAAAAGTCATGGCAAGTTTTTCTATGCAAAAATGAGTCATGACTTTTCTGAGGACCTGGCAAGTATTTCTAACTACAAATATAATAGAGTAAAAGAGCATATTCCTATCATCTATTAATTTTATTTTCTTCATAGTCTTGGCACAATAAATTGCTCAGGAATTGCTCAAAATTGTTCACTGGATGAAAGCACCAAAGTCTTCCAAAACCAGCCTGCACCTCCGGGTCACTAGCTGATCACTAAACACAGAAAAGAGGAACCTGAATCCATACAAGCTACATGTAATAAATACCCTGGATGCCAACAGTACTTTTTCAAATTAAAGTATTTCTTTAGATCATACTGTACCTTCTTATAAAATGAATTTTAGGAAGCTTGACTAGACCATCAATAAAAATTAAAAATTAGAACTGTGTAATCAAAGAGAAAAGAAAAATTAATTTAAGAAAAGTGTATTAACTTACAGAAAGTTAGTAATCAATTCTTTATTATAAGGGCCTCCACACAGAGGTCCTAAGTTTGGAGAACCAACATGAAACCTAAATTTTAGATGCATCAATTAGCTGTGTGACCACAAAGTAAGTCTACAGAGGTAAACACTATTTTCCTATCTATCTCATAACTCTTGATAGAATACAAACTGTAATGCACACATTTTAAGAGTCCTATGAGAAATAATATGCTACAAATATTTGGGATAAATATTTGAGGGATGGGGCAGCAGGTGGCATACTGAATAAAGTCCTAGAGTCCCTCATGGTCAACCACAGTCCAAGTTCTGGACCTGGTGGCTTGAAAAATCACACAAAGCAAGTGTGTGTGTGTGTGTGTGTGTGTGTGTGTGTGTGCATGTGAGCCCAAAATCCTCAAGAGAGAATGGAGAGGGGACTGTGGCATGGCCATCCCCCTGGGGGACGATTTCTCACTTTCCCTCTCTGTTGGCAAGGGCAAGCACCCTATGGCAAAATCTTAAAACAACAAAACAAAACAAAACAAACAAGAGATATTTTATAAAAATTGAGTCACGTTTCCTCAAAAGGTATCCATTCTAGATGTCTTTCCATCAATATTTTATAATGACATAATTTGTAGTTTATATTTCATACATTTGTGTGTAACCTGTAGCAATATACATTGTGGGACTTCACAATGAAATAGAATAGTTGCTAGTCACTTATGGCTATTTAAAATTTAAATTTAATGTTTAAGGCATTGCACACTCCCACATGGCTGCCCACAGCTCAAGTCCCTGACCTGGTAGCTTGCTTTCTCACTTTTGCTCTCTCTCTCTCCCTCTGTCTCTCTAGCTATTCCTCTCTGTGTGTGTGTCTCTCTGGTCAAATTAAAATAAATGAATGAATAAAAGTAAAATTTAATATTTTTTAACTTCTTAAAAATAAAAAAAATACATATATTAAAATGCTGAGAGGATACATAGATTGCCCAAGATCCAAAGGGTCGATTTTTTTGTTTGCTTGTTTTTTTTAGGTTTTTGCCAAAGGGCATGTGCATTCACTGGTGAGGGACAGGAAAAATCACCCCAGGGAAGATGGCCATGCTGCAATCCCTTCTCCTCTACTGGTTTTGGACATGCAAGCACACATACTTGGTGTGATTTTTCAAGCCGGGGGTCCAGGACTCAAACCACAGTCAGCCATGTGGGAATCTAGCATCTTTACCACTATGCCACCTACTGGCCCAGCAGGGTTCATTTCACTCCAGTCCCAACTCCAAAAGTTAAGACTCCTCTTTAGCAATCAATTGCTGTCTTTTGAGTTACTTTCATACCTTAAGGAGACTTCTACTTCTTCCCTCCATCTATAAATCTCACCTTTTTCTTCAAAGGCTTGGGTCAAGTCCTCTATTAGGGTTACCACCTCCTCACTACTTTCAGGATGTTGCGACTTGACCCAAATTCTGATCTCTCCAGGCAAAATGGTCAGGAACTGCTCGAACACCAACAGCTCTAACATCTGTTCTTTCGTGTGAATGTCTGGTCTCAGCCACTGAACACAGAGCTCCCAGAGTTGATTCAGGGCCTTCCTGGGTCCAGCCACTTCTGAATAACAAAACCACCTGAACCTCTGTCTGAAAGATTCTGGGTCAGCGCTCGAGCCTCTGAAGACAGAGTCTTGGTCCCTGGGACCATCCATTCTTAGGATGTTGTTTTGTTCACTTGAGGCCAGAGTTTGAGGATCTGGGAAGATGGCTGTCATCTTGTTCACGTGCCCTATACCTTGCACTGTGTATCACAAGTCCAGTCCCCTGTAGACTCTAGTACAGTCCGCCAACAGGTACCACACACAGCAAAATACCAAGGGTTCTGGGAATTCAGTTTACAGTCTTGCAGAAACTGTCAAGAAAAACAGAAGACACTAAGTAAGTGAAACAAATTGTTAATTCTAAAAACGTCATTAATGGTTTGGTTCTGAAATACATATCTATACATATTCGCTCAGAGACTTAGAACTGCTCTGGTCAACTACTATACTAAAAGGATACTTCTCGGGAACCAGCAGTTAGCGTAATGGCTATGTCGCTAGACTCCCACATAGTCGACCGCGGTTCGCGTCCCGGACCCGGTGGCTTAAAACTCACGCCGGGCGCGTGTGCGTGCGCACCCAAGATCCCGAGAGGAGAATGGAGGAGAAGGGACTGCGGCGTGACCATCCCCTCTGGGGGGTGATTTCTCGCTTTCTGTCTCTCTCTGTCTGTCGGGCGAGCACACGCACCCTATAACGAAAATCTCTCCAAAAAAAAGGATACTTCTCTACATGCGTCAAAAGTCTATAAAAGGAGTTACTTTGGGGCAGGCATATAGCGTGGTGGTTGAGGTGCTGGACTCCCACCATGGTTAACTGTGGTTTGAGTCTTGGACCTGGCAGCTTGCTTTCTCACTCTCCCTCTTTGTGTCTCTTTCTGGTCAAATTGAAGGAAAATTTCAATATAAAATAAAATAAATAATTATTTTCTTTCTTTTAAGAGTGTTTTTTTTTTCAGGGATTTTATTTTATTTTATTTTATTTTATGGCGACAGGGTGTGTGCACTCGCTGGAGAGACAGAGAGAGGCAGAAAGACAGAAAGCAAGAAATCACCCACCACCAGGGGAGATAATCACATTGCACATGTGTCTAAGCCACCAGGTCAGGGACTTGAACTGCAGTTGACCATGTGGGAGTCCAGCTATGTAATCACTACATCACCTGCTGGTCCTGGAAAACAAATAATCCTTTGAAAAAGGAGTTACTGGGACCAGCAGGTGGCGTAACAGTTATGTTGCTGGATTCCCACATGACCAACAGCAGTTCCAGTCCTGGAACCTTGAAACTCACGCCAGGCATGTTTGTGTGCATGCCCAAAATGCAGAGGAGCATGGAGAAAGGACTGTAGCCTGGTCATCCACTCAGGGTAGGGAGATGATTTCTCACTTTCTGTCTATTTTTCTAGCAAGCTCACCAGCCCTATAGCAAAAGTCTCTTTAGAAAAAAAAAAAAAAAAAAAAAAAGGGAGGGGGAGTTACTGAAGGGTAAGGAAACTACCCTCCAAGAAAGCAGTTGCTCAGACTCAGTACTACTTCTCAGAAGCAAAACCTACCAAAAACAGCTGTCAGAAGGAGACTGTCACAAACCTGTTAACATCCCTGGTTCTCTCTCAGTGGACAGCCACATATGACCCACCAATTGCTCTACTCAGAAACCTGATTTCATATTTGACTGTCAATTTTTTTTTTTTTTTTTGCCTTACTTTCCTGTAACAGAATTCTGGTGAGTTTATTTCCTAAGAACCTCTCCATTCTGTCCTACTAAAACTAAATACAAGCTTCTTCAGTCCAGTCTTACACTGTAGCCAAAACATTCTTCCTAATGTGGAAAATAACATCCTCACTCCCCTGCTTAAAAACCCCACTGAACCTCACTGACTGCCCGCTCCCAACACACATATGCGGGATAAAGTGCAGTCACAGGGGCCACGCACAATGTTCCAGAAACAGTGCTTGGATGATCTCACCTCTGAGCTGTAGCTACCTCTGACACTACAGAGGTAAAGAAGCATCTCCCCATTTCTATACGCTATCCTTTGCACCACGGCTGTTGCCTCTCCTTCTAAGCTTTCACTCCATTCTTTAAAACTTGACTCCTTTCAACTGTCATCTCTTTGATCCCAAAGTGCTCCTTTGCACACAGGCTGCCCTGCGAAGAGGGCATTCATTCATTCCAATGACTGTGCACCTGCAATGAGCGGCGATTGTGGCACCGCGGGGACAGGAGGGACAGGGTCTCCCTCTGTGGGGCGATGCCAATACAGCCTAAGCTGTAGTACTACTCCGCGACAAGTGGGAGGATGCGCGCCTCCTACTGCAATTACCATCCTGCAAATTACCCAACTCCAGCACAGCGCCTGGCACAGCACGCGTGCATCAATTATTTCTGTGCTAACTGCTAGGTGCCCACCACGTACCCGGCGCCGCACTGGGAAGCTGGGACTCCGCGGTGACCAGGTCACTTGCCTCCGTCTCTAGGGAGCTTAAAGTAGAGGCTCGGTGAAAATGTGACGCAGGCAGAGATTTTCAATGCGGGAGAATGGAGGGCAATTCTGCCCCAAAGGAGTCATGTAGCAATGCCCTGAGACATTTTTGGTTACCACGACCAGGGATGAAGGGTACTACTGGTACCTAGGGTGTACAGCCAGTGATGCTGCTAAACATCCTGCAGTAACGCGACAGTCCTCCCACCTCTCTCCAGACCTCCCTATACACACACACACACACACACACACACGCACGGACTTACCCCGCCCCAAAAGTCAAAAGCGTGGAAGGTGCGAGTCCCGAAGCGCAGGGCGGGACACAGTTAAGCCGCGGGCTCCTAAGTGCTGGGGAGCGCTCATGCCGCACACAGGGAGCAGAGTCCGCCCCGCACAGCCGTCTCAGTCGGCTGCTCCCGGTCTCCACCCCGCCCCAGGTGCATCCTCGGAGCCGGCGGCCGGTCCGTGGCCCCCAAACCAAGGGTCCGATTCAACCAATACCTGCACCAGCATCCGCAGCCAGTCCCGATACCACCGCAATGAGCTTCCAGAAGCTTGTCCCGCAGGGGCTGCGCGCGCAAGCCCGCGGGGGCAACTGCGCCTGTGCGGAGGCGCAGAACTACGATTCCCGAATGCGCTCGTCCCGGCTTTCCGAAAGTCCTGTGCTTTCCATAGGCTCCCACCCCCGCCTGTTGCGCATGGTCACTGGAAGCGGCTGGTGGGCTTGACTGCAGAATTGTTGCTGCGCCAGAGGCCTGCAGGCCTAGAACCCTCTCAAGGTTTTAGATCCATGAGGCTGTCTCCTTGGTAACTTCAAATGGTCCCTTCCCATCTCCCCTCAATAGCATTCTCCAAAATCGCAGGTAAAAAATCTAACGCAGAAGCGTGTGAGCAATGCGTTTGGTGAAAGTCATCATCAACTCTACGACTTGAATTAAAAAATTAATTGTATGACTTACACCTGCTGCCATGGTCCAGGCAGAACCACCATCCTGCCTCCTGCATACGCAATCGCTTCTTGGTTTCACTTTTCTTGTGTTCAGGGTACCACAGCAAACAGATATTTTTTAAAAATTAAAACAGATTATGTCCCCTTCTACGTAAAACCCTGCAAGGCTTCTCATTTCAAAGTAAAAACCCAAGTCTTTACAGTGGCCTTGAAGACCTGATGACATCTGGACACCCACAACCTCCCAGCCCTCCTCCCCCAGTTCCCTATCCCAGCCACAGGAACACCCTTCCTCCCC